GGAAATTTACCATACGTTGCCCATGATTTCCTCTCCCCTTCCTGCATACTCCACCTTTCTCAGGTTAGTCTTTGCCATCACTGCTGCACCATGACCAGGAGCTAACACAGCCCTACTGTGACCCTCAAAAATTCCTTAAATTGAACCCTTTGTCTTGAACCCTATCCTTGAGGCATTAGCTGCACTTACCCAAGGCTGAAGTAACACCAAAGTCTTTACACAGAAACCAAAGCATTACTGGGGGAGATTTCCCTGCAAAATTATTTACTGAGGAAGTAGACATGGGAAACAAATTCAAGCCCCAAAGATTCTTGAGAGTCAGTTGTTCTAGTTTTAACAATCACCCCTTGCAATTTTCCTATTTCACATGGGCAGTTCAGAAACTCCTCAGTCACGCCAGGAACCTTCCTTCAATAGAGATGCTCTGTTTGCTTCCCTGCAATAACTCACTAAGGTGACTGGGTATGCTTTAAAACGCTGTATTGGATCTAGTGACTTATCCATTTCCTCCATTCTTGGAGCACCTCCAGTCATAAAATCCCAGTTTTCCATCAGAAAATTGCAGGCAGTCTTAGCAAGCAATCTCCTTTAATGTTTTCTGCCAAGGAATCTTGATGAAAAGAAGCCACATAGTTTTTCAAAGCCTTTATCATATTTAATTGCTTTTCAAGAGGTAGTGACTCAGGACATCTGTTTAATCTTTGCAAGCTGTAGCACAGTGTGATGCATGGGGCTAAGCTTTACATACTCTCTTTACTTGCATCTCTAGGAGTAAATGCTTCCTTGAAGTAATTGTTTATGATATTAAGAAACTACTTCTCCTATTTCACTGCAATATTGAATCAATTTCTTTTTTTGCAGCTGTAGGTGTGAATCATATAATTGTGTTGGCTTTAAACCAGTATTTGATTAGCCCCATCAGAGAGGACAAAGAGGCATTGCCCCCCTTTGTCACCCAAAGAGCAAAGCTCTTTGTGCAGTGATCTCCAGTGGTCCCAGGGCATATGGAATACAAGCGTGCCCAATTCTGCCTGAAGGGAAAACTGCTCTCCTGCAGGAGGCTGTGAGGGAAGAACCCAATGCACTGAACATGGACTCCTCTGTGATTTGTGGTTCATGGCCACTCCCTTTGAGCTATGTGGGCTGCAGGTGCTGGGCTCTGCAGCAGCTCTGTCCCATGCCCCAGGCTGGCTGATCCCTTACCAGATAGAGCTTCTTGAGCTTGGAAACACCAAGCCCTGCTGTGGTCTTTATCTCGTTTCCTCGCAGCTCCAGGACTTGCAAGCTGAACAACTGGTCATGACTCAGGCCCAGCACTGTCTGGATTTTGTTTTCTGAGTGCCACAGGAAGAAGAAACAAGAAAGTTAATCCTACCTTCCCAACAGAGTGTCCCCCAAGAATCAAGAGAGGTGCCCTGTATCACCTTTCAGGCTGAGGCTGGCTAGGAGGGGGTGAGTAATGCCCTCCAAATCCGTGATGCAGTTGTAATCAAAGCTGATGACTTGGAGGTAGGGCAGCTCCTGCATGCTGGCACTGGTGAGCAGATTCCTATCCACCTTCAGCCAAAGCAGCTGGGTTAGGCTGCTCAGTGGGGCCAAATCTTTCAGCTTGTTCTTTGACAAATCCACATACCGCAGGTGAATGAAGCGTTCAAGGAGGCTGATGTCTGTCAGGCCTCTGAGGGAGGGCAAATGTGAATAAAATGTTTCTCATATTTCCCCACTACCATCTTTTGGGTTGCTCCTTGTCACTACTGGAGGAACAGCAACCTTCTCTCCTAC